ATTTGCATGGATCAACTCAACTCCTTACCCACCCCTGATTTTTTTTCTTGTTGTTATTTTTTGTTTTTGGTGCCTCAGCTGGCACCTAGTATTTACTTAGCACTGTGCTTGTTGCTAAATATATAGCAGGAGATTACAATGGGCTTTATCCCTGTCTTTATAGAACTTAATATCTCTGTAATAACAAAGGTCCAGGATATCATTACCTCATGAATGATCTCTCCTCTTTTCTATATCCTGGTAGAGATGCATATCATTGCCTTGTGCCTTACGTTCTTAGTAGTGTCCTCATCATAGTTAATGACATTTTTAAAACGTATCTAACATGATAAGAATCTTACCGATTTGGTTTTCAGTCGTTTTTGCATAGATTGAATTGTTAAATATTCAGTAGAATATAGTTATTTAGTTTTAGAAATTTCTAACTCATGTAAAAATATTTTCAAAAATAAGAGTTTTTTATTCATATTTCTATTCAGATAATTTCAACAAAGTCCAAGTCTTTTTGCTCATCTGTAGGAATTAAAAGGAGATTTTTCCTCTCCTTTGATACAATTTTTCTTCAATATGTGAGGCTTTGACACTGATCTCAAAAATGCCTAATGATCAAAAAATGTCATTGACTTTTAATTTTTTAAGTTTTATTCCATTTTTCTTTCTTTAATTTGATTTGTCAGTAATATACATTATAGATTACCCTATTCTTTTAATTATATGTTGTTATATATTGTATGCTGAAACAGCAGTAAAGCATCTTCACTGAATTTCTTTTGGATTTGAGAATAAGCTCTGACCACATGGCAGCTAGCCCCTTTTCTGTAGCCAGAATTACATCCCCATTTTCCATTACCTCATTTATGTATTTTTTTTTACCCTCACTCTTTTATATATTTAAAATTCTTCTAAGTTCTTTGTTGATATGTTTTCTGAAGTTTACTTTAGACCAAAGACTTCTGAAATAAAAGAGCTGGGGGTGGGGTTGTGTTAATTTCATCCCCATGTTCATAGTGTTTTCTTTAAGTGCCTTGTCTTTCTAAAAAAATAAGAATAGCAGCTATACAGATCTGCATGCTAATTGTAAATGGAATCAGATTCCCCTAACAACAGTTTTGCCAGTGGTGTTTCCAACTCTGAATATTTCACAGTTTTGTAATTTTTTTAAGCAAGCTTTGGCAGGAAAATAATAATTTCAGTAACATTTATTCAACACTTAGGCCTATATAGCTGACACTGTACTTTATATAGATTATCTAATATATAACAGCAGTTTTATAAAGTAAATGATATTATTTGTATTTTACGGGTGAAAAAACAGACAAAGGAGATTAAATTGACTTGCTATAAAGATACGCATTTCATTCACAGCTCAAACAAAGCATGATGGATTACATTAAAATTTGGGGTATCTGTGTTTAGGTTAAAATTTTGAGTTCATTCATCAGTCTTTCCTATAATTATGTATAGAATTATAATTTGACACCAGTTAACTCCACTGATAAAACTAAAAAGTGGCCGGGCATGGTGACTCATGCCTCTAATCCCAGCACTTTGGAAGGCCAAGGCAGGCGGATCACCTGAGGTCAGGAGTTCGAGACTAGCCTGGCCAACATGGTGAAATGCCATCTCTACTGAAAATACAAAAATTAGCTGGGTGTGGTGGCAAACACCTGTAATCCCAGCTACTGGGGAGGCTGAGGCAGGCGAATAGCTTGAACCTGGGAGGTGGAGGTTGCAGTGAGCCAAGATCGTGCCATTGCACTTCAGCCTGTGCAACAAGAGCAAAACTCTGTGTCAAGAAGAAAAAAAAAACTGAAAAGTGAGCTAGTTTAAGATAAGATGGCCTTTTTTTCAGGGCAAGGTCATAGCATTGTAAGTGGAATCATTCTTTTCTTACTTGGTTATCTTTCACAGACACTAGAATAAAAAGACTAAAAACTTGTTAGGGTACAATCTTTAACTTACTACAAAGATTAAGTTAAATACATGTAAACCATATTACTTTAGGACAGATTTATAAGTTATTTGAAATGTTTTTATGATTGCAGAAGGTTTATTCTTCTTATATTACCAGCAGGAGCCCTAAGAAATACAATGCTAAGAGAATAGCACTCTCCTATCATGACTCAGAGTTAAATAAACAACTCAATAAGAATGAAAATTGATCTTTATACTACCAGGCATGAAGCCCAGAGATAGCGTATTTGTAGGTGTCTACCAAATTTCAAGTTGCTATCTAATTTTGGCATTTTCCAAAATCTCAAATTTTTAAAATCTGCTTCAGAGAGGTCAAGTGTTCTAGGCAATCATGGCCTCCCATTTAGTCCAGAATAGAGTCTAAATCTATTGTAGGATAAAATTCTTTAACTTATTAACAGTAACAACATAAAAAACCTTTCTCGACTAGACACAGTGGCTCACACCTGTAATCCCAGTGCTTAGGGAGGCCAAGGTGGGAGAATCACTTGAGGCCAGGAGTTTGAGACCAGCCTGGGTAACATAGTGAGACCCCATCTCTACAAAGAAAATACAAAAATTAGCTGGGCATGGTGGCATGCTCCTGTAGTCCCAGCTACTCAGGAGGCTAAGGTGGGAGGATTGCTTGCGCCCAGGAGTTCGAGGTTACAGTGAGCTAAGATCGTGCCACTGCACTCCAACCTGGGTGACATAGTGGGACCCTGTCTTAAAAAAAAAAAAAAGAAAGAAAAATTTAAAAAAGAATCCTTCTATAAACCAGCTCTAAGGGAAGGTTGTAGTTCAATCTTGCCAAAGATAAGGCAAACCCATCTTTATTCCTAGATGACCTGCAAAGTAGGTAGCTCTTGGACCCTGTCTATCACACGAATGAGCTAACCTGGTCTTTCGCAAGACTGTCTTTAGGCTGAAGTTCATACTATGTCTCTAAGAAGAGTTTCTTTTTATTTGTGGTCCAGCCGCTTACCTGCCTGATGTAACAGCTGGCATGGCTCTGTTAGATTTGCAAGTGAAGATAATGTATCAATGTAATTTCATATCCAAAAACTTGGATATTGTTTTGTTTTGTCTTGTTTTTTTGAGAAGGAGTCTCACTGTATCCCCCAGGCTTGAGTGCAGAGGCGTAATCTCGGCCCACTGCAAGCAATTCTCCTGCCTCAGCCTCCCGAGTAGCTGGGATTACAGGCACGTGCCACACCTGGCTAATTTTTGTGTTTTCAGTAGAGATGGGGTTTTACCGTGTTGGCCAGGCTGGTCTCGAACTCCTGAACTCAAGTGATCCACCTGCCTCAGCCTCCCAAAGTCTTGAGATTACAGGCGTAAGCCACCGCGCCCAGCCCGGATATTGTTTTTAAAACACATTTGTTAATCACATACTCTATGCAAGGTGCTATGATTTGTATTGCAGAAAGTACGTAGATGAGTAGTAATAATATGATAGTTTAAATCTACTGAGTACTTACATGTGTCAAGCATTATTCTTAATGTTTTACCTGTATCAACTCATTTATTTGATCGTCACAAAAACCACATGAGCTAGATATTATACCCCATTTTATAGCCAGGAAAGCTGAGCGAGGAGTTTATAAATTGCTCAAGGTAACACAACTAGCAAGTAGTAGAGCTGGGCCAGGGACCCAAGCAGTTCTGACTTCAGAACCTGAACTAACTATCATATAATACCACTTCTTATTTTCTTCTCTCAAGAAACTTAGTTGCCCAAGTTATTATGCTGCCTAGGAACTTCAGAGTAAAATAAATCAGCTCTCTGAAGGAGAGCAGAATGGGCCCATTGGCTAAGGCAGTTTAGCATTCAGCCTAGTTTTCCAAGGTTGTGTGTTGACTTTCACATTCTAGTTTTAATAATGTTCTTCTGTGAAAATTCTGTAAGACTTGTCTTTGATAAAGTTTTGGGTGTTTAAATGAAATGATATAGTGCTTTCAATAACTGAGATGCCTTGGTAAAGTTTTATTCACTTAAGATTTGGTATAGCAGTTAGATGCCCAGTTCCTTCCAGGAATCTTATTACAGATTCTTCGGTTCTGGAGGAAGAGGAGAGGGACTGAAAAACCAGTTTAAGAGGACCACAGGTAAAACAAAGAATAATGCCACTATGAGGTTTGGATATTTTGTTTAATTTGTTTCACCAGAAGTTTTATTTTGAAATGTGGCAGATGAAAAACATTGGTCATGTTGATGGACTTGAGTTGTCCAAATGATTATCTTCACATTAAACCATTCCCATGCATAGTTTGCCTCGCACATTTCAATTCAAGATTTTCTTTTTGCTTAAGCAAAAGTTTCATGAGCTATCTTTAAAATTTTAACTTCACAAATAAATTAAGGGAAAGTCACCTCTAAGCAGTAAATATATGTTTCTGGAAGGAAATTGTTCCAGAAAGTTGTTGATTGCAGAGACACTGTGAGACTAAGCTTTACACACACTGTAAAATGAAATTAGCAGTTTGGACTAGCTATGCCCCTGTGGCTTCTGCTCTGGAGCTGTTGAATTCTCAGTATTGGGAAAACAGCCAACAGTTCCTTGAATTTTAGTCCCACCTGTTCAAAGTATGCACCAATACTTGGAAAGCTGTCCAAACTTTCTGATTTGAATTGCAGATAGGATGGGGTTTGTTTTCTTTATAATAGTAAGATCAGTAAATTAGAAAAAAAGTAGTAATAAATTAGAATTATAATTCAGATCTGTAGCACACTAAATATTCTGCATTTTTGTAATACTAATATTGTAATACTAATATTTTGCTGATTTTAAAACTACATAAAATGCATTTCTGGAGATTTTGGTGTTCAGCATATCATATGAAGAAATATGAGAAAACTGAGAAATTCATTCATAGATTTGTCTTTATAAATTGACCATTTAAATAATGCATGCATTATTTGTGGGGGGTTTTTATTTTTTAAAATGATATGTATTTAATACTATGGGTCATGTTGTTTTGGGAAAATCAGCATAGGATATGTTGTTAAGAATTCAGATTTAATCATTCCATGTGAAAGGCACAAATTCAGTTTGAAATAGCTTTTATTCAATGGAAGAAGTATTTTCTATTGGCAAAACTAGAGGTTTCTCTCTAATTTTCTGTCTATATTTTTATAAATAAAATGCATTATTTGGCTGAAATTTTAAAAATATTTTTTTCACTAGAAGTTAGAGCAATCTTAGATTTTAAATAAATTGTTAAGGATCTTGAACATGTTATTTAGTTATGTTTTAAAATATAGCTAAGATTTGCAAATATTTACATTTTAGGAAACAAACTGTATTTAGTCAACATAATTTTTAAAATAACTAGGACGTGGATACACATAATTTTCTGCAGTAATTGACAACAGATGAAACTACATTTATAGATTCCCCTTTTATAGTTAAGGTAAAATTCATTTTAAAAACTTTATGTGTAGAAGTAAATTGTGCCAGGTAATATACATGTAACATTTACATTTTTAAGAACTGAAAAGTACAAAGTTCTGTGTCATTTAAATTGGCGAGTGTCTCTCTTCAGTCAATAGGCTTGATCATCATCTGAACTGCTCTTAAGGAGTATGACCCGCCTCTGTATTCGGCCCAGAAAATTCCATCTTGGTGCTTGCTTCTGTAATGGCCTCCTCTGTACCATACTCCATTTAGGTTAGAATGTGCACAGGCATTGTACCACCAGCCTCCTTTATGAAAGTGGGCGCAGTTTCCTTTGAGGAAAAAATATAGATATAAACGTAAAAGTTTCTTCTAGGTGTGGTACTCTGCAATCATCAAAAACTTATTCTGCCTTTAATTTGAACTTCCCTTACTAATTCCAGTTACCTTTATCTTAGCAGTTTTAAATGTCTTCACTTTTTTTTATTGCTGTTGCATCAACTACTTGAAAGATTACTTGAATTGCCTTTTTTTAAATCTTGCTCTTTGCTTGCTTAAAATGTGCCTTTTTTTAAAAAGGGGGATTTAATTTTCTAGGTAGCAGAGTAGATGCAAGCAGTGTTTATATGTGAAAGAGTTACAGAGGAAGAAATTGGGAAGGAAAGATACAGAAGAAGGTAAAAGTCTGAGGAAAACTGAATTTTCAAAATAAAATAGCAAAAAATAATACAAAGTAAAATAAAACCAGCAGTCAAATGGGTTTCTGTAAATAAGACATAAGTTATGGTCATATCTCTCTTCTTTTCTTGTTTACCAGTGTGAAATTGGTTAAAATAAAGACCTGTGTGCTGTTTGCCAAAATACAGCTGGAGAGAAAAACCAGTTTGGGGCAGGGATAGGGGAGAATTGTTGGGGGAGAATCTGTTTATCAGGACCAGAAAGCTGGGTTAAAAAGTCAAAAGCATATGAAAACTAAATTTGAAATTATGTGGATGGTCTAGTTGTTTCTTTCTAATGAAAATACTAATTTCCCCTCTGAATCAAGCTTTTTTGTTATTCCTGTGCCACATGTTACAGTCATCTTGGTTTTCCCCCTCAAAGAAATGCTCTTACACCATGTATCCAGATGGCTTGCATCCTTCACTCCTTGCCAGTCTTTATTCAAATGTTACTTTCTCACAGTAGCTTTTCCTGGCGAACCCATATAAAATAGCCCCCATCCCAGGCCTTGCTGCCCACCACTTTCTATTTTCTTACTCAGTTTTATTTTTGAGAGTATTTATTGCCACCTAACAAATTGTCTCTCCTCCAGTGAGTAAGCTCCAAAGGGCAGGAACTTTATTCACTGTTATATCCCTAGCACCTACAACAGTGCCTGGCACATGGCAGGTGTTAAGTTGTTATGAATTGTAGGCACTTGCACTTTATTTCCAGATGAATGTGTTTCTGTTTTGCTTTGTGTTTTTTTCCTAGAACTTTGTTTTTCACATAGATCACACTTTGGGATTGCCTTATAGAAGAGATCTTAAAGCTATTTCTTTCAGTAGGTTATACTTCCTGTTACAGTGACCAAAACTGACCTTTTTGAAAAGACTTTAGTAGCATATATATTAGTAGATTCTATTTAATGTATAGAAGATGATTATTCTACAAAGAATGAAAGTTTTTCATACTTACCTGCATACATATCTTTATCTCTGTCCAGTGTGGTGAATTGTTTACCATTATGCCACATCATAGAATCCCCTGCATTTCCCTGGTAAGTTCCCAGGCGCAGTCTATAGAATTCACTTTCGGGTTCCAGACGAAAGCTGCTGTATTCTGCATAGACTTTTTTATCACTCCAGTCTTCTAATTCAATCAGTAACTTGTAATTATCTTGATTGCTAAGCATATAGATATTTTCCAGTCCAAGCCAATATTCTCCGTCAATGTTTCCAAACCCTTTCTGTTAATAAGTGAAGAAACATGAGTGCATAAATAAGTATATAGTAAACATTTTTATAGATAAGTGTTAAACATTCAATAGCATAAAGATATTGGCCATTTAAGTGATAATGTGAGCTTCCATTTTAGTTGGTCACTTGAGGTTTATAAGCCACACATTGTCATTCTGGTTTTTTTTGGTTTTTTTTTTTTGCTTCTAATGTGTCAGTAATCATTTGCAGACCTAGCTTCAAATCCTATAAATTAAGACAAAGGCAAATGAGAATAAAATTTATCCATAGCTACTAAAAATATTAGCTAGTATACTACCCAGATCCTTAAAAAGGGTTCCTGGTCTCTCTCATGTTCATTTGAAGAGCCCAACATTTCTTTCCTAATAGTAATTTTTGTAAAGTAGTAAGTATAAGTCATCCAAACTGAAAGGGATCGTTTTAAAGTATATCTTCTGTTTTCTTTTTACAATTTAATTTTCACTTTAAAACTAGAGATGAGAATCATTTTTTTGACAGATGTAGATAATGAAAAAACATGTGGATAGTTATTTTTGACTGTGTATCTTATTTATTGCATAGCATCTTGTTTCTTGCATTATTGCAAGAATGGGTTTGTTTTACCTCCCTTAGGACTGCATCACTGATTTACCTTATAATTTTCCCAATTTCTGAAGAAGTTGACAGAGCCATCTGTTCTTTTCTGAATAACAGTCCAACCCCCAGGATCCAAACTGTTTTCACACCATAACTGCATTGGTCCATTGCTGTTTTCAGGTTTAATCATATAAATCCCACTGACCGAATGCCCAGCTTCTTTTGCTTGCTGACAGTCTTTGAATGGTCCTATAATTTAAATATCATTTATTATCAGCAAACTTAATATGAGAAGAGACGTATTAAAAGTTTTTAATCAAGATTCTTACCTTTGTGTCTTTGTTTACAGTTAACCACTGTCTGTCATATATAGACTATTATAAAATATAAACTAAATAAAAGGGTGACTCCAGTTCTATCTGGAACATTAATTTTGTTTTCATCTGTTCTTTTCTTTGTCCATATATATATATGTTTTTTATATTGTTATAATCCTAATACACGTAGAAAATTGGATTGTCTTAACATTTTCATGCAGCTATAGTCTCCATTCTGGCTGCATAATAGTCCTTGACATTGATATATTTTTATCTCTCTATCATTGGACATTGAGGTCTTACGATTTTTGCTGTTATAAAAACACTGCACAAAGTGTCTTCATTCTTATTGAATTCACTTTTTAATATTATAAAAATGCTGAGGGATCGATCTATTGGATTAGAGGATATCAACTTATTCATAGTCCTACATAGTACCCAAGTCACAGTTTTGGAAATTTGATTTCAGTGGAACATACTAGTACCTTGAGATACTCATTGCAAATGGGGTCAGTCAAATAAGTTTTAGAAATGCAAAATATTATGTTTCCCTTTTGGAAATTCTCAATGTGCATTCACATATTAAAGACTGAGAAGCCCTGAAATAAACCAGATGCCCAAACTCATAGAATCTTAAATTTCCCCCAACAACACTTACTAACAGCCCATGAGAACACATTTCAGGAATGTTAGCATAAATGCCTATCTAAAGAGTTGTATCAATCTATATGACTAATACTAGTTTTCTCATTTAACCTACAGTTATCTGGTGATACTTTATAGATGTTCTAGAGATAGAACAATTAATTAAGGTCATGGATCATAGAAGATGGTAAACCCTAGACATAAATCCCTATCTAATCCCAGAGTCTCTGCTCTGAACTGCTGTGTTGCATGCATTTGCCCTCATGTTATTTCATAGTTTTAGGTATTTTCCATTTTTAATCCACTTATAATTTCTTCAAATTTTACAAATTTTGTGAAATTGCTTTTAGGGTTTCTGACTCTTGAACTTGCGATTTCCACATTTTTGGATCTAGTGAATATTCTTTAGTTTCATCCTTCTTCAGTGTTTCAAGCCTTTTTTATAAACATGCAAAATATATTAACGGATTTAGAAAAAAGAATTACCCTAAAGATCTCTTAGAACAAAAAATGTATAAAAATTCTGATTGTCAAATTTTATATTTTACTAGAAATATGTGAGAGTTCAGTCAAGTAAAGTCCTTACAAGAATTTCTGTACTATAAGGTTAATAGGATTGTTGAAATTTTGAGAAATGTGTTATCTGTACTTTGCCAGATATGTTCAGTATTCCTTTTGGGTCTTATTGGGATAGAATTAATCTCATTGGGTAGTTCCACAACTATAACAATAGAAGGGGTTCTTAGAGACTACGAGCTCTTCCTTGTAGATTATTCCTTGAGGACAGAGACTTTTTTTTTTTTTTTTTTTTTGACTTCATGTCATCAGTGTTTAAACCCTTAGGAAAATGTCCATAATTTTTTGTTAATTAAATTACTCATTTTAAATACAAGGAAACTGAAAACTACACACAAAAATCAAGAGGACATCAGTTTCTCTAGTCCACATGTTTATTATAGTTCATTGATATTTTTCTGTCTTAAATTTTTAAAAATTATAATGCAATGTCCATAAATAGACTAGTAAAAATTAGAGAAACTGGAAAGCCTTATTTATGGTGTCTTTCTTGGGTTATATTTAAGTATTGTATTTTTTAGTTCTAGAGTTTCAGTTTGATTCTTTTTTTCATAGTTTTTATTGCTCTTTTGAGATGCCCTATCTTGCATTCATTATAAACGTATTTTCCTTTAAGATATTGAAAATAGCTATAACCACTACTTTAAAATTACTGTCCTTTCAGTCAAGTTTGCTGAGTTTTTATCATGAATGGATTTTGGAATTTTTCAAAGGCTTTTAAAATCTTTTTTCTTTTTTAATTTCTTTTCTAACTAGATACATCACAGGAATCAAAGGCTTTCTATCTGCCTACTGAGATGATGATGATAGGGTTTTTCTTTTTGTTGTTAGTACACGAATTACATTGAATATACATATATATTATGTATATTATATCTAATCTATATGAGAACAAAAAGTGTATATATTAGAAGAAAATATATAAAATATGTATATTAGAACAAAGAATGTATAAAAATTCTTATTGTCAAATTTTATATTTTACTAGAAATATGTGAGAGTTAAGTAAAGTTCTTATAAGAATTTCTGTACTATAAGGATAAGAGGATTATTGAAATTTTGAGAAATATGTTATTTATACTTTGCCAGATATACACACACACACACACACACACACACACACACACATATATATATATATATATATATGGTTTTGGGTTTTGTTTTTTTGGAGTCTGTTGCCCAGGCTGGAGTGCAGTGGTATAATGATAGCTCACCACAGCCTCAAACTCCTGGGCTCAAGTGATCCTCCCACCTCAGCCTCCCAAGTAGCTAGGACTACAGGCACGTGCCACCATGCCTGGCTAATTTTGTTTTTTTTTTTTTTTCTGGAGAGATGGGGTCTTGGTATATTTCCCAGGCTGGTCTTGAACTCCTGGTCTCAAGTGATCCTCTGACTTCAGCCTCCCAAAGTGTTGGGATTACAGGCATGAGCCACTCCACCCAGCCTTTACATTGATTGTATTTTGAATGTTAAACCAACCTTGTGTTCCTGGGATAGACTCAACTTAGTGAAAGTATTCAGAGCCCTTAACACTATACCTAACAAAGTAGTCATCATCAGTAATTGTCTGTTCTTTCATTTCTCTTTTATTCCTCATCTTAACACATAATTGTAGCTTATTTAATAATTTAAGTAGCTTATTTAATATCTGCTTATTTAATAAATTTAATATAGCTCACCAAAGATGAATGTACAGTCATTTGTACTGCAGATAAATATTACTGAAAAACCTCATGTTCTGCAAATACATGCATTAAAAATAGTAGCTAATTTTAGCTATTAACATAATTTATATTCAGCTGCAGTTACCTGTGGCACAAAACATTAATATGTTTGGAAAAAATCCCATGTAAACCAATATAACCTCTCTGTTTTGCTACCACTATTCTCCTTTTCACTGGTCACATATGGGCTACTTCACATTATAGGAAACATGCATTGTAGTCAAGTAGGAAGAAGGGTAAAGAGCTTGTATTTCAGAAAAGATGAAATTTATAGAATTTTAATTTCTTATGTGGGAGTGAGATGGAAGGAAAAGTGAATTATGACTCCCAGGTTCATTCTTAGATTATTTCATGTAATGCAGGTAGTATATTTGTTTGCTTACAGTATTCATAGACAAGGACTTTATCTTTCAGTGTGTATTCACAGTTTGAGCCCCCTTAGAAATTCAGATATGTAGTTACAAAACCACGTGATTCCTAGTAGGCGTGGTTCCCAGAATTCCCTTAATTCTGCATTATTCTTTCAAGAAATGTCCTTTCTGCATCTACTATAGGCTAAGGACTGTTTTAGGCTCAAGGGATAAAGAAACAACCTTAGAGTCAAGTACAGGGTGGGAGAAGTCGCAAGAAAGAGAGAATTCCACTATAATATGACAAGTACTTTGATGGAGTTATGTAGGGCATGTGGTAGCAAAGTCTAAGAACTAGCTGAGATCTCTAAGGAGCATCGCTCTTACTTTAAAACCTGTTAGTATTATAGTTAATGCACACATGAAAGTAGTTTTGTTACAACATATAAATATTTATCTCATTTTATAAATTTGCATATTCTGTAAATGTTATCTTTGTATTGCTTATTCTATGAATATCATTTTCATAAATGTTTACTATGCATTCGAGTATAGTTTTGACAGTTTACATTTAAGTATATATTCAAAGGTTGGACTTTTATTAGATTATTTGCTTTGCTGCAGAATATTTAGAAACATCAGTGTTCTGAATGTTGACAGAATATTTGTCAAGTATCATTTGTTCCATAGAGCTATATTCATTTTCTGCTATTTAATAGACATTCAGCTGTTTAAAGCCAAATGGAGAGTTCTGAGTTTTCTGAATCCAGCTTTGATTTGATAAGACTTCAATTATGCAAATTTAAGATTACCTTCAGCTTTAATTTTCAACCCATTTTTTGCAGTGGGCTTTGTGTTTACAGTTGGATATCTGCTAGACTTAGGAAAATGTAGTTGAAGTTCTTTTCCAGAACATATGAGTAAAATTTAGCAGTGCATAAAGCTACTTTTTTCTCCTCAGTAAAGATATTAAGTATCAGAATTCAATATTTATTTGTATTTATAAACATACCATTAACCTGTCCTAGTCCAGTGTATGTTGTTGATCCTAGCAGAAATATTTTCTCATTATTACTTGCAAATCCTATTTACTTTCTGCCCTAAAATTAGACTTATCTATTGTCCCTATCTTAAATGTTTTCACTGCTTTTTCTGTACCATAAAAAACATTGCTTGATAGAAATTGTTAAATGACAAATAGAAAATTTTAAGCTTTATTCTTGAGAAGCCAGATTTAGTTTAAAGGTTTGCATATTTTCAGAAATAAATTGATCGATATGTGAATCAGGAATTTGTTCATGGTGATTCAAAAGGTATAAAGTGGAATTACCTTTCTTTTAAACTAAGCATAGTATTAACTTTTTTTTGCAAGAGTCTTCTCAAAGCAGGCAACTGGAATTCTGTACATTGAATTTGAAGAACCAGTCTCTCTGTTCCTCAGTTTATGTGAGGATTAAAGTTTACATAGGGCTAATGAAACCATATTAATACCTCTGATTTATAGAAAGAAAAATGTTGACCAGTCATGCCACATTATTTCCCAAGACGTATTTATTAAGAACCCATATCTTGAATAGAACAATGAGTTAAAAAAGAAAAAAGGATTTCATACTTTGAATAGCAGCTTTACTGG